TATATATATATATATATATATATATATATATGTGTGTGTGGAATATTGGAGATCCTTGATCTATAGTTTAGGCATAAAAATACCAAATATTTTAATTATGAAACAATAAATCATGTTATACAAATTTCGGGGACATTGTTTTGATTCTTAGGCATGCATGGTTTTAATTATTCCAACGTTACCATACTTTATCCATCTATCGTTTTCGGCTCGCAATAAGACATATTAAATCACAAATTCATAGTAATCTTATATAATAAATAAATTTAAATGACATTTTATACATATATATATATTGAGCAAATAAACTCTAAACCCTAAATCCTAAACCTCATTCCTTGGTTACGTATCGATTAAATGGACTTGGTTTGAATATTAATTAATGTCTTCGGTAATAAAAGTTTAGAACAAAATATATATAACTTTTATGTTTAGGTACGGCTAATGATTTTGTTTGTAAAAGGAGCAAAAAGAATGGATATAATAATAGATGAAATGGTTATTCATAGTTTGAATAAAGAGATAAACAATTTGTGAAATTATAATATTATGTTATAAACATAGGAAGTATAAGGGACTAGGTTAAGGATAACATAGCCGGATATGTGATTTAATTAAATCCAAACAACGATAAACAATGGTTAAAAATAGAGGAGGCCATTTCGATATTCAGTTTGGAAATAGTTCGGTTTGATTCTTTTGATTCTACAAAAATTTGTATCAATCGGTTATTATATTATATTCAATTCGATTCGATTTCGATAAAAAAAATTTTAGAATTTCTTTAAAAAAATCGGTTTTTCAGATTTTTTTTTTTGAAATTCGGTTTGGTTTTGAAAAAAATAATTTTGTAAAAAATTAACGTTAAATTTTTTTTGACAATTCGGTTCGAAAACGATGCTGTATTTTTCGTTTCGGTTTATTTTCGACGAACCGAAACACCATAGTTGTATGAATTGATCCACAAATAAATAATTAAAATTTTAAATAGAAAAAAATGACACAACCGAAAGAAGAAACGATGGGAGGTGGGGTAATAATAAGAACAGAAACACAGACAATGACGTCACATGTCGTCTGGAAGAGTTTATAATTATATCAAGTCACATAGTAAAATGTCCTCTCCTCCTTGCAGCAATTTTAAGTTCTTTTTTCAATTATGATATATATGATAAATATGTTGCCAATTTACTATGTGAAAAGTTATGTTTTGACCAATGATTTTTTAAAAGCAAAGACATTTAACAATATATATATATTATATATATATATACGGCTCGACCACTTTCACTCGGATTTTAAACATTTTAAAATGTTTAATTATTATATTTTAATTTGGTAAAATTAAATTTAGTTTTGAAATTTTCTTAATTTAAAAACAATATTTAAAAGTAAATTTCATTAAAAAAATATCGATTTAAATATAATTATATATAGGTATTATTTATTTGATAAATAATAATATTTGATATATATATATATATATAAAAAGAATGAACGTATATTCTATATTCGGTTCCCAAACGTCTCATCATTCGTCATTATTTATAGCACTTGCCTTTACCAGTGAGCGACACGTGCCGTAAGATTTAAATAATGTGGCGGTCGCTTCTGTCTATTCTTTCCCTTTTTGTCATTTGGATGGACTGTCCACAATCCAACAATGATTTAACCGTTGACCCATGCAAGTGATGCTAAGCATGATGGCGATATATACTAATATATAATAAATCTCATTAATTTTAGAGATAGAAAAAGTCTATGCGAATACTTTTTTAAATAGGAGTCGATGGGTTCTTTAAAATCGAAATAAAAAATACAATATTTTTTAATCGAATCATTCCAAATTTTTAAACGGTATTTTTTTCGGATTGAACCGAACCAAAATTTTAAAAATCCAAAAATCTGAAATATTTTTTAAAAAGTATAAATTTTTATAAAAACTAGAAACGAACCGAAATCGAAACCAAACCGAACCAAAAATGATATGATAACCAATTGAAACATAATTTTGTAAAACCGAAAGGATCGAATCGAACTCGAAACGCCCATCTATGCTCTCAAATTTGAAAATTTGAATTCAAGACGGATGAACATTTCTACCTATTGAACTTTTTGTTTTTACCGGTTGTTTGAAAGAATAATTCGCAAAAGGGATAAAAATATGGGGAATTTTTTTTTTTTTAATGATTTTAGGTGCCTTGGCTTTTTAAATGTCCACAATCTACACCATATTGGACAACTCCTTGGATTTCATATCTGCATATATTTCAAAGAATTGTAATATATGACTATTTTAATTTGTAAATCTGAATATCAATAAATTTACAAATTAGAAACTAGAATATTTAACCTACTAGGTTAACGAGAAATTAGTATTTAAGAAAAAAAAAACTTGTGGATCATCTTGGGTAATAAAGGGCCCTTAGGGTCCAATACCTGGCCCATTAGGCCCATTGTATCTTGGGCTTCGTCAAGCTTCACTCTTTGATACAGAATGGTAATGGTAAAGTAAACAAATGGTCAAAATACATTTAGAACACGTGGATATGCGTATTCATGTAAAATCCGTAATTAGCCAAAATGGAGAGATTTGAAGTTCATCTGGAAAATATTGTTAGCAGAAACTAGCTAAAATACAAATTGGTTTCTTGTAGGTTACAAATTGTAAAATAATTAAACTTTATAATTAATGAACATTTTGTTTCAATAATAATACATATACATATCCAAAGAGAACGATTAATACATTGGATTTAATCAACGTATCTACATTCCTGTTAGTATACTCTTCCAATACATAAATATAATAATTTTCTTATTACAGTATTTATACGAATGGCATTGCTAATACCACCTAAATTTCCAAAACTAAACATGTGTTAAAATTATATTTTATTACTCCTGTAAAAAAAAAAAAAGAATTCCGTACAATTTAACACCAAATACAATTCATGCATTAATTTTTATTTATAGATATGGAATTTTCAAAACGAATTTTAAATGAAAAACCTATAAAATTAAACAACTTCTATAAGTTATATTCTAGCTTCAATCTATGTGACTAAGGATTTGGGAAATTGCAATTATAGATTTTGTATGAATATATTATATATTGGTGAGATTGGATCGGTATGCCACGTGGCGAGTGATGAGAGGGAGCGTTAGTTGAGAGCCGCCTGCCTACTGGTGGTGACGCCCGAGGAACAAAGGGAGCGCGTGTTCCTCACACCACTTGATGACGTGTCAACCGTTGGATAATTTTATAACTAAATAAAATATTAATCTCCACAATATAAATTTATACAATTTACCCAAATTTATTCTACCCATTCATCGCATCTTCTTTCATTGAAGTAATATTTTTCCTATCTTAAAGAACTCAAAAAAATTCTACATGTGTATAGGTTCAAATTTGATATGGACATCCAAAAATGATATTTCTAAGTTTAAAAGGATAATTTTTATATTACGATTCACTTATTTTATTTGTACTTGTTCAATTTTATGAAAATAATTTAGATTAACTTTTTCTAATTTCACATTGTATTTGTATTCATTTATATTAAAAATATTAAAATATTAAATAAATTTTCGTTTTTTTATTTTGTTTTTATAACGTAAAAGTAGTATTCAATTAAGTTTCAGATCCGATGGATCTAATTATATTAAATTTTATATTTTAAATCCAGATATTCAACTTTATATTAATTGGATCTCAAAAGAAACAGGAGAAGAAAAACGGTTGAGGAAATTAGAAAACATAGGAAAATAATATATATATATATATATATATATATATATATAGAAGAAGGAAGAAGGCGTGTGGGACTCAATTTGCTTTCTTTATAGTTACGACACTCCGTCACGTGCCCCCCCCCCCCCCCTCACA